CCCACCTTCTGAAGCCTGCTTCTGTCAATTCATCAAATTCATTCTGTTGTCTTTTTTTGTTCCCTTGATGGTGAGGAGTTGTGGTGCCGGGGAGGAGGAGAAGAGGTGTTCTGTTCTTTGACGATTTCATCCTTTTTGCGCTGTTTTTTCCCCTGTCTTCGTGGATATATCTATCCTTGATCTTTGAAGTTGGTGATTCCAGGAGGAGTCTGAGTGGACGTTTTTGTTTTTTTTTTTTGGTTGAGGTTAGAGGTATATCTTTTTTGGCCTGTAGAGGGCGATGCTGGGCTCTCTCGGGTTTATTCAGGTTGTTGGGTGGGTGGTCCTTCCCTGGAGTTTGTTTGCAGGTGAGATTGGCCCCGCCTTCCCTATGGTGTCTCTCCCAGATCTCGATCTTCCTGGTTGGGGTCAAACTGGTGTATTTGCTGCCAAGCTCTCCAGGGAGGGCTTTACTTTGAGTTCTGTGGAGATGGAGCCTGCGAGGCCTTATGGTCTGTTTCCCTGCTTTCAACTCTGCCTCCCTCTGTGGGATGGTCCATCCCGCTGGCGTTAGTCCAACCTTCCGCCCAGGTCCCTGGGACAACTTGCCCAGCAGTAGCTGCTGCTCGGATTTCCATCGACTATCAGCAGTGTGGGGCTCTTTGTCCACTGTGAGTTGCAGAAGGGATGAGGTAAGCACATGATCTGAATCGGGGCATGTCTAGGGTGGGGGTAGGGAGTTGTGGGGAGTTTAAGTTCCCGGACCTTCCCAGCCAGCTGCATATTTCAGGTGGGGAATGCACCACCCTGTCCCCCATCTTGATTTGCTCCTCTGGGTGGCTCTCGCTTTGTGGCTCCTTCCCTGGGCCTATTTTCAGTGCCCTATCACTCCCACCAAAACGAACCCAGCACCTCATTTGGAATCATAAAGTCCTCTAGCCCTCTGTGTCTCATTTGCTGGAAGCTGCATTCTGGTGTCGTCTCCCAGCTATCTTGGTGCCCCCTGCAAATGGCGTTCTTAACGTGTGTGAGAGTCTTATAAATCAGTAAGAAAAATATGAAAACAAAATAAAAATTGGCAAGGAACACACTAGAGTTCTCAAAATAAGTCAAACTGATCAATAACAATTAAGTTGCTCACTTCATGATAAATACCATGCATACAAGATGCATATCATTTTTCATCTATCATTTTGACAAAGATAAAGTATGATAATATAGTGTTGGCAAGGGTATGGAAAAATGGACATTCTCATGACAGTTGGTGGGGGTTCAAATTCACACAGCTTGTAGAAGAGGCAATGCAACAGCACCTTTCATAATCCAAACTGCAAGCAAGCACTCTTTCAGTTAGCAAGTCATACAAACATATTCTACGGGTGTATTTTCACAGTAAGACTCTACTATTTCCCACCCAAGGTTGCTTATGGTAACAATGTTTGTTTGTAATAGAAAAAAAATGTGTAATACCCACTGAATGCCACCAGAGCATGGACAGTAAGCTGAGTGAGGTACATTCATCAAGCAGAATGCTATGCAGCCATGAAGAATGCGGTAGCTCTGTGCCAATAGGAAAAGATCTCAAGACTATATAAGCAAAAAAGCAAGATGCAGGGTAGAACAGATAATATGATCCCATTTATTTAAAAAATAAAGATTCATATTTGCTTATATACGCATACAAATTTTCTGAAAATTACATAAGAAATGGTTTAGATTACCTCTGGAGAATAGTACTGGGGTAAGAGGTGAGGAGGGAGAATTCTCATTTTACAGCCTTATACACTGATGTGAATTATTTTTACCATGTCCTTTTTTAAAATACAAAATTGAGGAGGGATCCTCCTACTCCAAAATTACGAAGCATTCTTTTATGTACATTTCTCTAAGAGTTATATTTGATATTTTTCAAGGCAAACTGACTTGAGGTACTCGATGTTTTTCCAAATGTATTTCTAATAATTAATAGTAGGGTTACACCTATGAGACAGCTTTGTAAAATCACATATTGCTTTATTTTTAAAGATGACAAACCTTTATGTAAATGGGATGCTTGCTGGAGATTTTTTTTTCAAACTCAGTTTTTAAGTTATGGCAATATCACTGCAGAAAATTGGGAAAACATATATAAGGGTGCCAAAAATACCACTAAAATCACATAAACCAGTCTTACCATTATTAATGTTTTGGTGTGTTTTCTTTCTTTATATATTAACACCTAGTACTATCTATGTAGAAAATGTATTTGCAATGCTGAGATCACACTGTACCTACAGCTCTGGATCCTGCTTCTTTTCCCTCAACACTTAACAGATGCTCAGTAAACATGTTAAACCGAGTTGTTAATTAGTATTGTACCATTTCTCCTCATCAAAAATTACTTCTACAGAAGGCATTTAGTTTCCAGTTCTTGAGTAAAATAACACTTAATGAGTATTTCTGCATTTATGATTTAGAAAAAGCTACTAGATCAAAAGAGTATGAAATATTTTAAGTTTCCGATAAATGTTTTTCAGAAGGATTATACTGGTTTCACTCCTACCAACAGCGTAGCCTCTGTCACTGTTTCCATGCCAACACTCACCATTTTTAAAAGTCACTATTATTTCATGGGTAAAACACTGAAAGTTTGCTCTGAGAAAATTTCTTCCTCCCATTACAAAATAAAGTCACAGTCTTTCCATACATTCACTCAAGAGTGCTATCTTCCAATCTAAAACAGGAATCGTTTTTAAACATCATTAGCTTAGTGGGCTCCACTAACAAAAACATATGGGAAAAGTAACATGTAAGTCGGATTAAGAAACGCAAATTTTTAAGAAAAACCAAATGACTAAAGGCATGTCTTTTATTCTATACTTCTTGTCCTATAGGTACTGTAGGTCCTTGTGTGATTACTGAGGACAAAACTTCAGTATAAAAGTGACAGAGAAAACTAGGTTGCAGAGTAGCAGCTGTTTTGCATCTGATGAGAACAAGGACCTTCACGGTAACTTTATGCAAACAATGTAATGCCTCACTGACTCAGGAAATTTCTTTCTTCAGTGAAGAAATTTCTTTAGAAATTTTTCTTTCTTCAAAATTTCTTTCTTTAATCTATATATAGATTATAATCTATATAATCTAAATATAGATTATAGTCCTTAATCTATATTTAAGGTAATGTAACCAGGTACTTTCAAGAGACATCTCCAGGGCAATGCTGGGAGGAAAAAAATCAGACATAGGACATCAACAGAGCCCTGTGCAACAAAAAGATGCTAGGATAACAAAACTCAAAGCAAAAATAAGATCATTCCGATTTTTGGGAAAGTTTTTTTTATTCAGTGTTTAAAAACTACAAGATTTTGCTTGCAGCTGATGATCAAAAAAAGAAGTTAAACATAAATTCTCATATGATTGGCTAGTTAAAATGCTCTGACACAGAGTCAAGTTACTCAGTGACATACCAGTTACTTTGGGCTTAAGAGTCTTCGAGCAAAGTAGCTCTAAACAAAACGTGTCATCTGACAGCAAAGGGCTAATGGGCATATGAAATACTGAATAAGAAGCCGATGGAGGCAGGCTGTGGCAGATCTTTTGATTCTTTTAGGCTTCTAGCAGTGGTTACCATATATGCAAGGACCTAGCAGAGAGTTATTTTCCTGTTTTTACTTTTCTGAGCTAAACACCTTCAACCCACACCCACTAAGCAGGAATAAGACACTTTATTATAGACTACTTGGAAAACATAAAGCAGTCCACTTCTCCAGTAGAATTTTAGTTGAATTAAATCAAAGAGAAACAATGATTACTGCACATATTATAATTGTCACACTACATCTGTTGAGTAGAATTTCCATTCCAAGTGTTGTTTTCATCTTCACCGTCATCTTGAGTCCTTAATCTATATATTTTCCCCTCCTTTTTAAAGTCGTCTCCACGTTTTTCCAGCACTCTTTTTCTCACTGGTTCCCTGATATGACAAAAGGGGGAGGAAAGGAAAGATGACATAAAATAAAAACAATAGTAATACAAAGCTGTTTCCTGCAAACTTCCATCCGTATAGGCAACTAAGTTTTACTTTTAATGCCATCTAAAGGAAAGTCAAGTCCACGGGAGACCATTATATCTAACGCAGTATTAGACTTTATAATTTATTAGTCTTTGGTAAGTTTAGCTTCATCTGATCTCTTAAGTCAAGCCAGCCAAATCATATTTTCCATTTCCATTGTGTTTCTTAGTGACTTACTAAGCTTTAGAGGAGTGTGACCATTTGCCAACTCATCTTTCCTTTGTTACTTAGGCAAGCTGATATAGCTACTAGAACATTTATAACTTGGCACCCTAGAGACTCCAAAGCTCCAGTCAGCTTGACAGAAAGGGTCAATTTTTAATCCTCGCAAAATCTTTAAGAATAACTTATTTGGCCGGGCGCGGTGGCTCAAGCCTGTAATCCCAGCACTTTGGGAGGCCGAGGCGGGTGGATCACGAGGTCGAGAGATCCAGACCATCCTGGCCAACATGGTGAAACCCCATCTCTACAAAAAATACAAAAAATTAGCTGGGCGTGGTGGCGCGTGCCTGTAATCCCAGCTACTCAGGAGGCTGAGGCAGGAGAATTGCCTGAACCCAGGAGGCGGAGGTTGCGGTGAGCCAAGATCGCGCCATTGCACTCCAGCCTGGGTAACAAGAGCGAAACTCCGTCTCAAAAAAAAAAAAAGAATGACTTATTTATAAACAATTAGGAACAAAGAGGACTTCCTCATCTGAAAATACAAAGAAATAAGGATAAAATTTAAGCCAACAGACTTTTATAACCCTAGAAGGGAAAAATAATAGTCAAAGACAAAGCTTCACCCTGTTAGACATACATTTTATTCCATCCTTTGCTCCAATCTAAGACCTTTCTGTTACTTAAAAAGTTCAGACATGGTCTCCCCTCTGTTGTCCAGGGTAGAGTGCAATGTCACGATCACTACTCACTGCAGCCTCAAAACTCCATTCCAGGGCTCACACAATCCTCCTGCCCTAGCTTCCCAAGCAGCTGAAACTACAGGCACACACCATCACACACAGCTAATTTAAAATTTTCTTTGTAGAGATGGAGCCTCACTATGTTGCCCAGGCTGGTCTCAAACTCCTGGCCTCAAGCGATCCTTGTGCCTCAGCTTCCCAACAAGCTGGGATTACATGTATGAGGTACCACACCTAGCCTGAAAAATGTTTTTAAAATCCACACAAGCTATCTTATATTACAGTGATTCAGGATTGAATGCTCCCACCCATTGCTCAGTAAAGCTGTAAGATTCAGCCTAGTTGGAGTTTCCCTGTGTGCTCACTAGAGTAATGTACTTAGTAGGTAACTGGTCTTCCTGCCTAACAGTTATGAAATAAGATAAAGGACAAAGCAGCCCAATCACCATACTCATATAAGTCATTATCTTATAAATGGGGAAAATATACAAAGATACCTTTTTTCTGATTTGCTAGACGATGCAGGGTTTGGGGGTTCTGACGATGTTACTCTCACTGAAGTCTGTGCGGGAGGTGGATTACTAAACAAGAAATTACTAATCAGTCTCCAGATGGCAAGGAATGGATAAAGTACTGTTCCCAACAAGGTCCAAATGTCTCTGCTGGAAGAGTGTACAATGGATGCAGCTGGTCTTCCTGCCTAGAAATTAAGAAATAAACAAATCTAGATAAAGGCTACGTCAGCATAATCACATCACACTCAAGGTTCTAGATGAAACTTTTATCTGGAAAAGGAGGTCCTACTGATTTTAGATTACTTCGAGAGGGTAAAATGACTATCTTTTGATGTTTTGCAGGTATATATGAACTTATGGGGACTAGCAGAAGTTTTAGAAGAGAAATTATACAGTATTATAATTATATATATAATATGTAATTATATATATTATACATATAATTATAAAATTATATATTATAGTATTTGGAGCTCTGTTTAAGAGAAATTATAATATACAAACTAGAAAGTAGTTCTCAGTGAAATAAGCCAAGTATTTTTAGGAATTTTAAATTTATAAAAAGTCTTTCTTGCTGATTAAAAAAAAGATTCAAACCTCAGTAAATACAATGAAATCCTGATTATTGGACAGCTAACTGTTTTGGGGTGGACGGCACATCTAGTATAGGGCAAGGGAAACTGTTAGCCAGGACACAGAAGACCCAGGCTCTCATCCCAGTTCTGGCACTTAAGGTGGGACCTTGGCCATAGTCATTTAAGCTTTCAGAGCCTCTTTTCTTCATCAGAGATTAAAACATCGTGCAGATTAAGTGGGATAATCTGTTTGAATATTCATTTTATTTTCATGTTAAAATAATTTTTTTTTTTTAATTTGGTAAACAGTAGAGCCGTATATAAATAAAAGACGGAGGCCGGGCGCGGTGGCTCAAGCCTGTAATCCCAGCACTGTGGGAGGCTGAGGCGGGTGGATCACGAGGTCAAGAGATCAAGACCATCCTGGTCAACATGGTGAAACCCCGTCTCTACTAAAAAAAATACAAAAAATTAGCTGGGCATGGTGGCGCATGCCTGGCAGGAGAATTG